ACGAACCAGCACCCGCCATAGTGCACAAACAGACAGACAGTACTATCCTTTTACGTGAGTCTTTATGCTAAATTAAGTCGGACGTTTTCTATACTTCCAAATCTCAGGCTTCACCCCGAAAGAAACAGGAAATGCTCCGTTCACAATGCAAACAATGGCGCTAGTTCGATAATGCTAGCATTCGTCCACTTCTTTATCCTTCACAAAGTGTAAATTCAAAGTTTAAAAAGAAAATGAATTCCAAAATTTGTATATCATGTTCTCCGACATCGCCCACACTAACGGTATCTCAGACACTGCACAAACATTACATGAAGGAAATGAAATTGGTAAAATAAAATATAAAGACAAATGAATGCAAAAAGGAACAAAAAGCACGGAAAAATAATATAATCCGTTGTGGTTATCTCTGGAGTATTTACATAACGTTATCAGTTCCTTCGAAGTGCTTCTTGAGGAGAGAGCACAATTTCTGAGAAAATGGTATGTGAAGTAATAATGAAGACTATTGATCGTGACGATGACAGCGGTGACTAAGGTTGTTAGCATGATTGTAATGATGATGATGATGATGATGATGATGATGATGATGATGATGATGATGATGATGATGATGATGATGTTGATGTTGATGATGATGATGATGATGTAATTGTTGCTTTTGATCGAGATAAATATACCGCTCTTTCACAAAATAAAACCACCACGACCTCTTTTAACCCAGAACCATCAAAGCGAGTAATTGTTTAAATAGTTGACTTTTTAAAACCTATCTAAAACATCCACTTTGCAATAAAACTTGCCAAAATGGTGACTTTTTTTAAAAGCCCAGAACGAGTTGTTGTTTTTTTTTAATGCAGATTTCGGATTCTGTGTCAAGCTCAGAGTTAGTATTCCGAACCAATGCATTGTTGCTGGTGAGTATAATCCTTATTTGTGACTATTTATTTCCATACTCATGTTTTGAATTTCCAATTGTCATATAATCAGCTACAATTTTATTTGAGTAAAGCATGGTAAAGGAACCTTCAAATCCTTAGTCTCTAAAGCAAGAATCTTAGTCCGGATCTAGAGCGATTACTAATTCTAAATAATGAACAACCCGAGAAATGCATACGTACGTTCAAGAATGGCCAGCTTATTACTACGGTCTCAAGCCCCGTGAAAAGCGGAGAGAATAATATAATGCCTCTAAATCTATTTATTTAAGAGTGTGGCTGTCCAAAAGCTTTCTGGTATAAAGTCCACGTTTTGACAGACAGGAAAAGGATTACCCATCATAAAATGTGCGCTTTATTTGCGTAAAAATTACTTTTGTTCTCTGAACAACAGACAATAAAATGTCAGTGCTTTTGGACTCACGCCAGTCAAAAAATATATCCTGATATCGAAGCATTTCAGAATGGGATTTTTGGCACTTTTTAGATACGATGGCCCTAGAAATGGAGGAGGATGTAATATTATGAAATAGCCTCTACAAATATTTCCTAATAAGCACGCGCTGATACAACATATATGATGATAATAGTATTATTGTATTATTGTACCCACATAAAAAAAATACAAATAATCGTTCAAAGCAAAAGTGGCTTGTAGTGAGAGGTCGATAAAAAGAAATGAACAATAAAATACTACAAAGCAATGTATTAGGTAAGGTGTTCAAATGTTCTAGACACAAAAAACAAACATTTTCAGAAGAGAAGAAAAAACGCAAAATATTAATTTCATAATTCTAAAAATTATAATACACCATGTATCTGTTTTATTGTTGTTGTTGTTGTTGTTGTTGCTGTTGTTGCTGTTGTTGTTGTTGTTGTTGTTGTTGTTGTTGTTGTTGTTGTTTTGGGGGAGGGCGGTTGTTTTAACTTTAGAATTTAAATTCCAATTAAAAATATTTCTCTGGCACAGGAAACCAACATCATAGGCTAAGAAACTGCATTAAAAAATAATTCAAAGCTTTGTGGTAAGTACATCTATTCAGCTTGCGAACAGTATGACTCACCCGTATTCCTCTAATGATAAAAGCTTACCAGAAGCTTTCAAACATGTTTTGTTTCTTACAGAAAAACGTTCATTTGATTATTAAGCTATAGTGCTCCGGTTTACTACAAAGCGAAATGAAACAAAAGGAAAGAAGAAAATCAATAGTTCATTCCTTAGAACATCATATTACGCTATTGACAAAAAGCCATTCTTTATCAATAATTGTTGGGTATAGAAAGGACAATGACTTTTAGATTCTTCCTTTCGAAAGAACAATGATTGTGCTCAATCGATACGTTTTCCACAATGTAATACTAGACACAAATAAACAAAAAATATGTAAAACCATAATAGACCAGAGTGCATACAACGTGACAACACTTTGAAAAAGATAAAAATTGAATCGATCTGGAAGTTAATTGTATGAGGATATAAGAAAAAGATTTATTTTTGCGTCACACAACTGGGATATTGATGTGCTACGCTTTGGGAAATAAATGGGTGATATCTGAACTACTGAAGTGCTATTGCTACATTAGAGTGGAGTAGAGTAGGGGCAAAGTGGGGTTGTGGAAATGTATCAACAAGAATTCACGTAAATACGTGACATTTTCTCATAGTTTCTGCTTCATTTCAAGGCAACGAAAAAAGGTTAACATTGCAAAGTTTATTCGTAGAACAAACGCTGATAAAGATGAATATATTTTGACATAGGTATACTTGTTTTAAAAAAACATAGATAGATAGATAGATAGATAGATAGATAGATTGATAGATAGATAGATAGATCTGCCGTCGTAAGGGAAAACGACGAATGGTCAAAAATTTTCGATTTTTGTATTTTTACATATTTCATAGAGTATTTAATTCTGCATCTGATGGTGTAAAAATTTTAGTCATATCTTAATCCGTTGTTGCGTAATTGAGAGTTCGTCGTTTTCCCTTACACTGGCGAGCTCCGAGCCAGAGCTCAGTGTAAGGGAGAACGACGAATGGTCGATCGGTCAAGGATCACTGCTCGTTCGGCGTTGTCCCCTGGTCTCTGCCGTTGAGCAAATTCGGCATGGGCGACGAATGACAACTGGTCACTGTTGCGTCAGTTCAAACATATTAGGCTTTTTTAGTAAACAAACATACCACCACCCCCTCCCGCGGAGTACCGTCGATGGTTTATAAGAATGTATCTCTAAGTGTGTCTTTCTGTCTGTCTTCACGTATTAGGCCTATGCTGATGGTGTGAATTGACAAGAGCAGGCGGGAGAGAGGGGAAAACGGATGGGAACAGGGGGAAAGGGGTGGGGATGGGACGGTCAAAACAGTATTTAGGGAGAAATTTATTAGCACTGCATATTATTGTCCGCCAGATGTTCACAGACTAACGTCATGTTACTTTGCTGTCCAGTCATTTGACATCCCAAATCACAACGATGGCTATAGTGCCGCAATTTGTCCAGCACGTGTCACTGGTCGACATCATTATAGAATTACCAAGCAATTAATGACACTACGTTATGAGAGTAAATTTCTTTGTCCAACTTAAAAAGTGGATGTATTGTGGCGACACTTAGTCTTGCTTTACGATTTTTATGACTTGATGGATGTTACGATCGAGTATAATAATGTCTTGCAGATTCAAACCGTTCAAGTCGATCTCTACTTTGTGGTATGTTTTCCGATCCGATCAACTGAATCCTTTATTAAATACAAAGCATCCCATTACCTCTCCCGAAAGCGTGTGTGATACAGTCTTGTCAGATTGTTACATTCTTACTTGAAAGTTTGACTTTGCAATGATCTGATCGTATTATTGACATTGTAACATTGTTGATCCCTTTGGTCGTGCAGGGAAGCATTTGCAATTAGCGAAAATAAAAGTAAAACTCGCTTCTGAAGAGATAATAGAGATATATCATGGAGACCAAACTTTTCTTCCGAATGAGACGGTTTTAAATCAAGCTGTTGAAAATGTGTGGACATCTGATTTGTACACTGACTGTGTTGTTTAACCAAGCGAGGAAGGGAGACGAAGGACGTTTACCGAGTTACAGTTGCGATATAACAAACACCTAACTTTATACGCATAATAGCTAGTTTGTATACGTCTTATTTTTATTTGTAGTAACCAGTACACAGTCATAACTGTCATTAATGCGTCACAACTGACCATTCGTCGTTTTCGCTTACATCGCAAGGCTCACCTGCGGGTGTGCAGTGTAAGGGAGAACGACGAATGTCGAATAACTTTGCTACTTTTTAACCTAAACCATCCAATTTTTAGAAACTGCTTTAGGAACATCTCACTCAGATATCTGGTGAATTACAGCTTGAAAGAGTGGAAAATAGAAGAGTTATAAAGTGAAACAAGTTTTTGCCTCTCCTGAAAAATTTGCCTCGCTACCTGCGCAGGACCATTCGTCGTTTTCCCTTACGACGGCAGAGATAGATAGATAGATAGATAGATTGATAGATAGATAGATAGATAGATGTGTGTGTGTGCGTGTGTGTGCGTGTGTGTGTATGTGTACGTGTGTTCTGTGTGTGTGTGTTTGTGTGTGTGTGTGTGTGTGTGTGTGTGTGTGTGTGTTTGTGTGTTCTGTGCGTGTGTGTAAAGGTGTGTTGACGTGTGCGTGTATGTATTTACCATGTGGCCGCAAATTTCTCATCGTGGAGATTAATGAAATAACATCTTACCGTCTCTAATCTTACGTCATTAATTTATGTCAACAGAGTTTAGTTTTTAGTTTTAGACAGTTTTACGACATCACTTGCCTCAAAGATAGGCCATATAAGAACCGGTATTTGTCAGTATAAGTAGAGAGTAATATATAAAGAAAAGGAGGAAAGATGAGAACGATAAATGTTTGACAAGAAGGAAGGAGCAAACCTCACTAAAGTACCCACCAACCACAGGCCAACCATCCACCAACTGAGTGAAATAAGATCAAGAACTCACTCGAGTACCCGCCAACCATCCGCCAACCACCCACCAAAAGAATAAAATAAGAGCAAACACTCACCACATCGCCGTTGTTATAGGTTCCATGGTGTGAAGTTGAGAGTTCATGCGATGGACGTGAAAACTACGACTTCCTCAGAAAAAAATCACCAACTCCTTCCTTAGCCAAACAGATAAAACCTCACTTTGGTCACGAACTCCCACGATCAGCTGAAGACGAGACTGACCTCCAAACACAGCCCAGGTCAGATGAAATAAGCCCTCTCAATCCAACAAGAAAATATCTGTCAGCGAGATAATCCGCAAAATTATTCCAAGCAAAGGATGGAATTAGAAATTCCACAAAGGGTTTTTTTAAAACTTCTGTTTTGAATTTACACTCCCCGGAAAACCATCAAGAAATTATTATTTTTCGTTAAAAAGCAAAACAGAAAGACAAATATACATGTAATATCAACATGTTCTCTTTCGAGAGAAACACAATTACTTCGAGGATGCGTTGCAGTTGCTGATGTTGGTGTCAAAAATCAGATAAAGATCTGTATCCCTATGAAGGCAAGACAGGACCCAAACGAGAGTTAACACTTTGACAACCAAAGATATTATATTATTATCATAGGAACGTTGCTTCAGTTGTTTTATCAATATTTTAAAAAACCCAATAACAATCCCTACAAATTCACATACAAAGATGTTATAGCTCTTTTCTCATGAAGGAACTCTGAACACAGAATCATGGAGAGACGTAGCAAGCATCGGTGGAGGGCGTTTTCCAAGTTCCCTCGCTCTCGGCGTAGACCCGTCGAAGGTATTAATCCGTTGCGAATGTACAAAGGGTCAAGCAATTAATTTCCTTGTCTGTGATGGCTTGGAAAGACCAGTGGCTATTTCCCTGTCGTCACACGGTCGGTGTTATGAGGCAGTGAG